ACGTGAGGCAGCGATCGTGACCATCACCCGGCGCCAGGTAACGACCGCATCCAGAAACGCACGGGTGAAACGGCATCTTTAAAAAGACGATCCGTCGTCTTGAAAAAAGAATCACCCGCTTATTGTACTCTTTTAGAGAAATTGGCTCTTTTTGGAAAAATGCTCTTATACGTGCGGAGACGCACAGGGGAAATGGCCGCTTGCAGCACGACAGGGGGTAGTGCAGCCTGAAGTGCGCAACCCACTCAACACAGGAACGATCACCGCTGAAGCGCCGTCCGCCAACACAAAAAGCTCCCGAGAGCGTGTTAGACTCGTCACACATGAAGCAGTTTTGTAGGAGCAGAACGATGCTGTCGCTCGGCTCCGAAGCGAAAAGCTGGTATGCGTTGCACCGGCTGCCTTTTTATGCTCACGCTGTGATCAGCGGCAGCTGGATGCAATAATCGCATGCCAATGTGCATTGGCTCGTTTAGTTTACACTCAAAGTGGATTGGTCTCTCAAAGCAAGATCCCAATTCGTCGGTCACTGACGTGACTCGTAGTGACTGACTGAAAGGGAACTAGTTACATGTAACAGTGTTGCGTAATTTAATTACAAAATAAATCCATTTCAGTTACTGAGAAAAAAATGTGTAATTAATTAAATTACAGTTACTTATGAAAATGTTAAAGATTACAAAGGGGGTTACATCTGAAAATTTTCTGCAAAAAGCTTGGATATGTTAAATAATATGAATTTGCTGCTTTGCCTGTTTTTGATGTGCATGATGCCTCCTGCCATTTGAAGGCTGTTTAGTAAAGAGATGCTATAAAATTCACACTTTACGAATTTACACTTACATCAGTGATACCACACAAGGGACAGAGCCCCATTTTGGAATTCCCGCCTTGCTCCCTTGTCACATGAACTAATATAATATTCATGAGTCAAATCCACAAACATGATCTAAAGTCCCCTCCCACATTTTCTCGCCTCTTTTGTACCATCATGGCGGCCGCCAGGAGACATAAAGAAGCCATGAGAGAATGGCAATGTCAGTGGGACAGGGAAGCTAAAGGAAGACATTTGTATGCCATTCAAAATAAAGTTGGTACAGAGAGGAATTGGGGAGGGACTAGGAGAGAAGAAATAGTGATGACAAGATTAAGAATAGGACACAGTAATTTAAATAGTACATTACACATTATAGGGAAGCATCCTACTGGTTTTTGTGAATATTGTCAGACATTAGAAACCATAGAACATGTACTTTTAAGTTGCAGAAGTTATGAAGAGCAGAGGAGAAATATGATGGAAGAATTAAGAAGAGATGGGTTGGTAGGGACAGGTATTAAAGATATACTGCAAAGTGGGGTGATTAGACAAAGCAGGAAAATATTTGTAATTTCTTAATTAGAACGGGTTTGATGAGAAAAATATGATTGTGGAAAACAAGCTGGAGGAAATAAACTGGAATAACATCGCAGGAGAATAATCCAAAAGATGGCGGTAATGCAACGCTCTTGGATGCAAGCCGCCGTTAAACCTCGAAGAAGAAGAAGCCAGGAGACATAAACGCATGGCAGCATCTCAACCGGGGTTTTTGCCTCTTAAATCGAATCTGGATGGCAGCATTTCGGATGTCAAACGGCGAAAGCGTGTGAACAAAAATAAGAAAAAGAACTGGAATAAAGTCAGTGATATCCAGGATGTGGAGGAGTTTCTGGATGACGTGCGGCTTCAGGAGAGAGCCACAGGATGAGCGTATTAAAGAAAAAATTTATAGAAATGATTAGAATTTGTCTAATACAGGGCTGTCCAAACTCGGTCCTGGAGGGCCGGTGTCCTGCAGAGTTTAGCTCCAAACCTAATTAAACACACCTGAACCAGCTAATCAAGCTCCTTACTAGGCATAGAAACTTCCAGTCAGGTGGGTTGAGGCAAGTTGGAGCTAAACTCTGCAGGACCGAGTTTGGACAGCCCTGGTCTAATAGCATATACATGGTATGCCTTATTCCAGTACTCTATATACAAAACCCTAATTTTGGCAGTATGTGGTTGTGTACAAAATGATGTATTGATGAGCATCACGTTGCTGGTATTTAGTTAGGACATTGTTTAGAGCAGGCCTGTCCAAACTCGGTCCTGGAGGGCCGGTGTCCTGCAGAGTATTTTTGCACAGATTGTCTATTAACTGTGAGCAGACAGAGTGTCAATCTATGCATTGGAGCAGGTGTCCTGCAGAGTTTAGCTCCAACCCTAATTAAACACAACTGAACCAGCTAATCAAGCTCTTACTAGGCATAGAAACTTCCGGTCAGGTGTGGTGAGGCAAGTTGGAGCTAAACTCTGCAGGACACCGGGCCTCCAGGACCGAGTTTGGACAGCCCTGTTTTAGAGAGTCATAAAGTTTGTTTTGCATTACTATAATTGAAGTTTAGAGTATCCTTATAACATTTCTCTCTAGTGTTTTGCTTTTGGTAAAGGGCATAATATTAATGTTTCATCGATTGCTCCTTGTGGGGGTTTGAACCTACAACCTTTCAGTTAACAGCATTAATTCTGAACCACTAGGCTACACCACCTCATCGGTTCATGATACAGTCAGCTAAGAGATTCTAAATAAACACTGACCGATTTGTTTGTCTCCTTTCTTCATCCATAGGGGGTTGATTTCTGAAAAAAACAGATGACTCTCTCTTCTTTGTGGACACTGGTGAAACAGATGAAAAAGATACACAACCACGTAAGTGTAAAAACTCTTCTCTTTATATACTAAGTAATAATTTTTTCCAGTGCCACCCATAACTGCTATTCTTGTTATTAGAGACAACAGTCAAGAAAGGTAAAAACTTGAAACCTTTGTGGATAGATCTAATTCTTCAGCTGGATTCCCACATACCTGCCCCAAAAAAGTGAGTACAGTACGACTGCTGCCTGAAAGATTTACTTTCAAAATGACATATAGCCTGCATCCTCTTCTCAAGGGAGCCTCTGCCTTGCATCCTTGCGCTCCCAGTGTTTCTTTGGGAATGTGAAGATAAAACAGTGGGACTTGGAGGGCTGTTGTGTGAACGGCCTTTCAGGATCTGAGGGCATTTTCTCAAAATTTGGATTGAGATTGTTTTTTGGTGTTTCACTTTATTTATTTTTTTTATTTTTTCCTTTTCGCCAATGCCATTTTATCTAGACAACAAGGTGATGATATAATGGTGAAATAATATATTGCAGTTAAATAACAGCATATGAGACGTGCACACAATTGCTGAAATTAAATTAACTGTTGTATGAAATAGCTATCTGATGGTGTGTCGATACTGATTATTAGTTTGTGGATTAATATTTAATTATAAGCATATCATGTCTTCGCTGTAGATTTAAAAGTCAAATTTGGTTTGTATAGCACTTTTCACAATACGCATTTTTTTTCACTGCAGCTTTACAGACATTTATGGTGTTAAAATCTTAATGCCTTATAGTCACATTTAGCAGATTAGAGCTGGGCTATAGTAGTTTACGTTTTGCGGCAACATAAACAGTCAAGCAGTTGAGATTTACTTGAGTACTTGCATATACTCACATAAATAACTTTATATAGGGTCCTGTGCAATGTTCTAGACAAGCACGCTGCCAAAATTTTCTAGCATATATTACTTTGCGTTATACACTGTAATTATATATGCAGGTAAAGTTGGATATTCTATATATCCAACAATATATCTCTAAGCGATAATTTAGTTTATATTTTGTGGTGATATAAATAAGAAATCAATTGAGATTTGCTATAAAGTGGTGTTAAATATTAGCTGGAATTTATACTGCACCACATATTAGGATGATTTGATAATCTCCAACCCCATTTTTTAGGGATGCACCACGATATTATCGGACCAGTATCGGAATTGGCCGATGATGGCTTTAAATGTAAATATCGGCATTGGCCGATATGAAAAATTATGCCGATATGTCTTGCCGATAAGAGGAATACATTAACTCGCATGTGCTAGCTATTAGATCACGTCAGCATTGTGGCTCATTCTTGAAGCAAAGTTTTGCCTGAATGGTGATTAGATTCACTGTTTTTGGATTGCCTCATTTAAACTGAGAATGCACATTGATGCTTTCAGTGTATGATAAAGTAAACCGTAATAGCACGTGCAGTGGCAGCAACCTCCCCCGGGTCCTAATGCCAGTTCGGCAAGGAGTTTTAACTCAGTAGGGGGCGCTGTTGGCCTACTTCTAATAAAATGAAAGCAAAATACACAAATAATATTTAGACCGTTTCTGATTAAATAAAGCAGTAATTGATGCCATAAAATCATGAGTATGTTTTGATTTAAAGGTCAGAAGCTAAGGGGGAAAAAAACAAGTAAAAAAACCAAAACAAACGACACTTAAATTAAATAATTTTATATATACTGATTTATTCATTAATGTGTAGTGTTAGATTTTTTTAACACATTAGCTCTAAAAGATTTTCAGAATTTTTACAACTCTTTTGCTTAGACCATCTACAAATGTTAAATCTTAAAAAAAAATGTTAAGGTTTTTGTTCTTTCTGAACAAAAAATGCAGTGATTAATATATAGTTTATTTATAGTTATTTTCAAATCTTCAATGTGCTGACATTATAAAATAACTTTATTATTGTTTATTTCATTCTAACTAATAAGTTCTTGTTAAAAACAAACCAAAATTAAAAATAATTATATATCGGACAAAATGAGTTGAAAATTATCAGCATATCGGATATCGGCAAAAATCCAATATCGTGCATCCCTACTAGACTTGTGCCGGTATTCGGTAATGCGGTATATCACGGTAATGAATATGCACGATATTGTTATCGTGGGCACTTCTAAATACCGTGAATAATTATATATAACAAATTATTCAGAATTTTGAATGCATTTTAAGAATACTTTTCCCATAAACTGGTCAAAATGCACAACACCGCTGTATGCTGCGTGAAAGACGTGTGCGCACTCTGACATAAACAAGCGCGGACAAGAAGCACATGGCGGAACATGTGAGAGATGCTCTGGATGAAAGTGCACTTTCACTCTCTGACAGCAGATGGCGCTAAACTGCAGAAATAATAATAATAATAATAATAATTCATTTAAATGCAGCCGTTACCCCGGAAATCCTGTAAACAAAGCAGCTGCACTACTTTCTGTTTCTGAATCGTGTTTAAATGATTTAAACAGCCATTCAGATTTGTGTATTTGCTATGATGTTCATCACAGCGCCAAATACTTAAATATTATAGCCGAGTGAAATGAATGGATCCCACCTGCAAAAATGTGTAGAACAACAGTAAATGTGACCACGTATTTACCATGACTTGCAATGACATAACGTCTCCTGTCTCGCATAATGTTTCTGTCCTAACCAAAAGGTTTACGGTCTACGATAATAATTACATTTGCAAAACTGTAATATTCAGAAGAAAATACTGTATCTCACAGTGTAATGCAGTCAGATTGTTTTCTGCGTGAAGAATGAATCAAGCATTGCGGGTGTTATTTTTAACATCTTTCTCAAATCAAACTGACAAAATACATTGTACTTTTATTTATTTAAATTTTTTATGAATATAATGTAGTTTTTTTTATTTTTACTTTCTAAGATAAGTGGGTACAGCACACATTTATCATAGGAAATTTATATATATATATATATATATATATAAAATGTTTTTGAATGGTAAGCATTATACAGTGCTGTGTAGTGTGTAATCTAGCATAGCACTAGCATACCATTTTAGACACAAGCTCCTAGTTTAGATTGGAATGTGTCTACATGCTGTCCTAAATATAAATATGCATTTGTGTGTGTTTATTTAGGAGAGCACCTTTAAAGAGCAGGTGGAGGGGTTGATTGAGGAAGTGGACATTGAGCCAGAAGGGGACATCGAAGACACAGTCATTGGGCCAACTGCAACACAGGAAAAGAAAACTGAGAAACAGAGGAAAAAGGAGAAAGCTGAAAGAATTAAGGTGAGGATGCAGAATGGACTTTCCTGTTGACCAAGCTGGTCATGATTCTCTTGATTCACATTCAGAGTTTGAATTTATTGAACAGGAGTTGCAAAGGAAGGCGGAACGTCGGGTGATTGACAAGCAGCAGCAGTTTTCAGGGTTCCCACGCTTCTTGAAAGTACTTGAAAGTACTTGAATTTCAGACATATGGATTCAAGGCCTGGAAAGTACTTGAAAACAAACATAGGTCCTTGAAAGTGCTTCAATTAAATTTGAAATAAATTTTGTTTATGGCGCTATTTAAAAAATTGTCCTATATGTTCTGTCAAAGACAAAACGAAATGGCACTAATGATTGGGGGTGGAGATGGAGTAGCCGAAAAAAACTTAGCGTGTGTGTTGATGCGCAGCCTAGAGCCTTGGAGACAGTTTTTTTAAGCCCGCTCCCGCTGAATTTCTGACCATTACCAATTGTCCTGCCACTACAGCTGGAAAAAAATCCTAGAGGAAACACTGCATGCATTTAATAAAATTAGAAAAATGTATTTACAAAGGTAAAAAGAAAATTTCCCTGAAATCACTTTGAGTCAAATGTCAGCTCGTATTATGAAGGCTAATTCTTGATCAGAATTTTTGATTATTGATCAGA